TCAGTCTGTCCTCGTTTTGCCAGCGTCGTCGGGTTGTCGCTGCGCAGATTCGGTGCTCTGACTTAATTTGAGTAACCTTCATTAATCATATTATTTCTACCCCGTTGTCGTGGCAGGAATATAATATTTCCGAGACGGGTTCTCTACCGTCAGATCCGGCGAATCTTAACGAACGACGACGTGCGCTCGACATCGTTTCGACGGAAATATAAACGCACGCTACGCCATTCACCCCCTATGGGGTATTGTCGGGGTAATTGTCCATTTTTCCGGTCGAAGATTGACGTTCTAGTTACGCAACGGACATAAGTTCTATCACTCTCCCTCTAACAGACGACAAGTTAATCCTTATTTCAGCAATCAGAATTCATATATCTTCAGTCTTTTACATAAAAAGGAAATTATTGTATGTAAACCTCTTTTCTTCATTTACTTATTATTTAATAAATAAAAACTTTACTTTCTAAATTGCATCACACTGTAACCATATTTTATTAACATAAATAATTCTTTATATCCGTATTTATCTGTAAAAATTATATTGTAATTTCTAGATTCAGACGTTTTAATGTAGTTTGTGAAAACGTGATAAATTAAATATGTTAAAAAAAAAATTAATTGATATTAGAGCAGTTACTTGAACACTTCTTTAAATATTTCTTGAAAACATTTATTTGCATTTAAATATTTTTTTATAAGTCATACGAAAATTTAAAGATCGAGTGTTATATCATTGAAGAAAGAAATTGTCTGAATTGTTTGAAGATCACGGCTATTTTCCGTCGGTTCCACAGTGGAACGTTTATTCACCAGTAATGACAACTTAGTTTTATCAAATCGTTTCATAACAAGTCAATTTTGAAATGCAAAATCTACTCACGTAAGAATACTCAGTGCGCGTGTCGAGGGACGTTATCCGGGGACGGTGCGCGCTATCTAAGGAATTCCGCTCGACTATCTTTAATCGTGCGAATTAATCGTCCGCGGCGAATACCTCGGGAACCTTCCCGCGACGTATTATTCGCGCGAATACGACCGCACGAGCGTGAGTTGACATTCCTCTCGTGAGCGGCCGCGCTTTTTGTCCGCGATTCCCGCCTCCAACCGTCCCGCCTTTGCCTTGCAGTACGCCAGGTGGAAATATCTTTTCGCGATTAGGCCGGGGGCGGCGGGCGACGTTGTCACGGCACGGCAATGGGAAACGTTATTCCTCATGTTTTCGCGATACGTTAACAGAAAACACGAGAGTTTCTAGCACGTACATATTATCGCGGGGACAGGGGAGGCCTTTGTGGCTATGCGGCTGCCATGTCGGACTGAGGGTGGCCTGAAACCTAATTGTTCAGATACACGCATTTCACTGCCGCCACGATGCCACGCGCACACGCGTATTATATACAGGATAGTTCAACAGCAATGAACGAAAATGAGATTTATGCCCCTTACATTAATATCATAAAGTTACAAAATTATAATGAACATATCATAATATTTCCGGTGTATTTCGTAAAATATTATTACCGTATTATACAATTCTATTAAAGATTACATCGGATACTTTCATGATAACAAAAAATGTCTTAGAATTTTTTTATACTTTTATGTAGATGTACTTATAAAATTAAAAGCTGTTAATATTTCAACTGTAGAATGATTATAATACAATATTATCTGACATTTACAGAAAAATATATTTAATTTTTTAATTTTTTAATCGCGCACAAAGAAAATATATTTCAAAGACGTATTATGAACTTCTAATATTGAAAAATATTTTTCTTCCTAACACACAACGACACAACTATTCTCAAGGAGCACTATAGTCGACGCACATCAATGACATACGCTCATTATTCTGCACGGGGTTTCGCTCGAGCTATGCGAGCCAGCGGGATTGTTTTAATGAAACCATTTTCCTCAAACCCCCTCGGTCTTTCCCCTCTTTGCTCTCTTCCCTGTCCCCGCGATGATGCAAAGGGAAAAGAATTTCCGATTGATGGCGCAGATAATGGAGCTGCCAAGACGTAAAGACCATCACGTCTGGCTGAAACGATATTTCGGACGGGAGGAGAGCGAGAAGGGTAGGAAAGGGACAATGTCTCCAATTGACGGCAATTTCACAAAAACGTGAAATTCTTTCATTATCTTCGGCATTAAATTTCACCCTCTCTGTCTAGGTGGTTTTCGTACAGGATACGTGAAACGACACGAGGATTATCCTAGAGCATGTGTGCGCTCTAGGATTATCGTCTCGATTATCAGTGATTGAGACCTTCAATCTATATTCGAGTGTTTCCTATCTCTTTCGATGGATCGATTGAAGTCACCGTCCGACAACGTTTAAAGTTTAAACTTTTGCGGAGAAAATAACCAGGAAAATAATATAAAACAGTAGTAAAATAAAGTAGTAAAATAAAAATAAAGTAAAAGAGATAAAAAACAAATTACTGTTACAACGACTATTTTTAACAACAAAAATTTCTATCACGCAATTACTTTTTCCGCACGTAATGACATTTTATCAAAGAGCCTTTACCAATATATTTTTTAAGACTTAAAAAAATCTATGTACCTATATATTATATCGCGAAATCACTGTTGCACAAATTTTCATGTTTCAATCCTTTTATTACTTCTTTTCTCTGTCATAAAACTTTCCGTTTTTTCTAAAAAGTTTGAATGTATAGAGTAGATAAAAAAAATGCTCATCGAACACAATTTATTTTGTTCAAAATTACTTTATATAAGTAGAAAGATATTAAAAATATTATAAAATTCTACCAACATTTGATAAAAACATATCATGTTTATTTGTTTATTTCAGAATACTGCAAAAACATAATGTATACTTTTTTATTATCGGCTATATATACATCTATTTTATAAAAAATGTCCCTCATTTTATAAAATAGATTATTTGAAAAAGGTTAAATATGTATTGGAACATATATTGAATAAAAAATATGTATATCGGTGAGCAGAAATAACACGACTGACGCTTTAATCGCGATGAATCCCTGCCATGCGGATCAGCATGCTAGGACAATTAGTTGAAATTTTATCTTCGCCTGCGCAAAATTTTTTATCCTTCCTGTTTTAGAATTGAGATACGATTTAGTTTTCACATGAAAGCTTCCTGCCCATAGATTAATTTTATCGCGCAAAATCCGACATCCGTATAAAATATGCCATAGAGAGAATAAAGTAAAATATATAATCGATAAAAATACTGAAAAGATTATCTCCTTCAGAAAGTTAATGTTATTTTGCTCGCAACATTATGAATTCAAAGATTCATTATGTTCTTTTATAAAACAATTTGAGATATTTTTGTTAGCTAAGACTCTATGAAATTCAATACTACATAACTGTTTACTGTAATGCCGCACATGAATGCCGCACATGAATGTTCGTCTTGTGTCTAATGATGGATACATGCTCAATAGCCACACGTACACGACAATTATCACATCAATAGTTCCCCTTAATCATTGAGGATATAACTAGCATTTGCCCAATATAGCAATATCAGTGCCCTTCCGTCATCGAATATGTCACAAGTGACCGACATGTTCTAATAGGCTTCAATAATCATGATGCCTCAGTAAATATATGATACCTCCCAAAGGTATTCTTTTGTAACTATGTATATACTTTTCAATTAGTAAAGATATCGATATTAACTTATATTTTTAAAATACAATATAAAAATATTTTTTTACATAAATCATTCAAACAAATTGTTAATTTTAAAACATGGTTACTCAGATAAAATATATCATTAAATATATAATAAAATAACGAATATAATCACATATTGGCATGAGAATGCTCGATTCGACAAACACGCTCGAGAACCTTTAAGTTAATAAATGAAGTTAATCTAAGTAATAGAAGTTAATAAACACTAATAATCTTAGAGAATGATCGAGTCGCTCCATCTTATCATGATTTCAATGAAAGCAACAATATTATATGCGGAACGGTTCACGCTACTACTTCGCTATAAAACATACACTAAGTACTGCATGCCAACTAAGTTATCGTTGCAAACTAAAATATTTAATGTAAACATTTAACTTCAAATAAATACGCTAACAATTTTCTATATTGTTTTCCAAATTAAATGGATGAATGTGATTATGGTACATTTTGTGAATTTATTAGCATTGCTTGAGACAATGATTTCTGTTGAATCACCATTTTAAGATATATTAATAGAAATGTTACATTTAATGTAACATTTAAATACTAGTTTGATACACATACTAAAATTCAATTTATGCGTGCATATTTTTACGTTTCAGAATAAATAAATGTCACTGTGTGATTTTAATAAATCGAGAAAATAAGATAAAATTCATTGTGAAAAATATATGGAGACGTAATCTCATTTACTTAGTTTATTAAAATCAATTTTAGTGTTCTCGAGAGAAAAAAAAAGATTGGAAAAAGTGTAATAATAATAAATTAATGCCTATAAATATTTCTCTGTTAGAAATAAATATAAATTTTATTTTTATGATCCATTAAAAAAAAATGAAAACAATTATGATTGCAATTTTGAAAAATTATCAAATATTCAGAAAGTATAATACAATACAAATGTATAAATTAATAAAAATTTGTCCTGTGCAGAACACGAACTAGTTTTTATTAAAATATTATGATCAATAAATTTTTACTTAATAATTGAAATTTTATCATCGGTTTCCTTTATATTACAAAAATGCAATTAATTTCAATGTTCTTATAGTTATATATATCTAAAATTATTTCTATAAATAATTCTTATAATAAATATGTCTTATAATAAATATATCACTAATTAGAGTATTTTAATTGAAAATATTAAATAATCAATGAAATCATATTTTAACAATGCTATGATTTATACTTTAGTTATATATGTATTATTTTATTTTATTTTAATTTAAAAAATTGTTTAGTTATAATAAAAAATATAATATTTATGTAATAATAAATTATTCTTTTTTTAGGTATGGGAAAGGAAAAATCGCTTCTCAACTTGCAGAGATACGCACACTTTATTGCGGTGCTGTTACGCTGTCTTTATCTGAGGACTTAGGCTTTTGGGTAACTATCTTAAACAAATGCTATTGTGTGAATGCTGTATGAAATGCGATTACGTGATTCTGTAATGAGCGATTGACATCAACAATTCTAAGGGGAGTTCATGATCCGTAAATAGAATCTAGATGCACATTTCGGAAGCAGAACTCGATTGATCCCAAGCATACTTTTATTCAATCAGTGTCAGACTCCATTTACGATGTTCTTTGATTAGAATCTGCTTCTGGCGCGCTACAAAGGGTCGATCCCTCTAATGACTACTACAAATTACGATGTAGACGTATTTAAATTCGCACTAGGAAAATTCCATGTTGTCAGTAAAACAGTTTTGATAGTTTGAAATTTAAAAATTTAAACCTTCAACTATCAATATCTATTGATTTTGCGTTACTATAAATAATTTATTACGGTCATAATTAATCATTATCATATAAATATTATTGTATAAATATAGTAACTATAATATAAGTTAAATATTATTTAAGTTTCATTATTATTAGATTCTTTTTCTGAACAGATAAATATATTAGTATCAAATTGTTTGCATACATTATACAAAAATGTATATAATTATGTTAAATAAGCATTATAGAATATATTATAAAGTAATTATCAGTAGATAAAAATTCTTTGATAAATAATAATTAAAATCCAACGTGGCATTTGTAATAGTATCAATGAAATTATAAGCAAGTCGGAGTGAAAAGTCAACTAGAGCAAAAGAAGACCATAAAACGAGTTGCTAGGCGGTCTTATTTGCACAGCATGTATATTTAATTTACCTGTGCATATACATGTCCGTCGTTTTTCCATCCTCCAACCTACCTCGCACTACGCTACCACTAACCTTCCCGACGCGACGGCTCGATGCGCAAAACTTTTAGGGATTGCGCGCGTTCGCTCGAATATATTTGCATGTTCCACTTTTCCTGCGTTTTTATTCGCTGTCGGAAATTTGCAGTCCCCGAGTCGTGAATCGGCCGTCCTTGCGAGCTCTTGGTCGTGTAAATTCGCCGCAAGACCTCAAGATCACTTTACGTGGTTTTATTGTGAGGTGTTCATATGTTCTAAATCATCCAACGTGAATGGAAAGTAAATTGCATGCAAACAGCATTTTCTAAAAAAAATTATCATTTGCAACGACCTAAGTCAAGCTGTTATCTATTTTCGTTTATATAAGTCATTCGATAAATAAATTGAACATTTTGTAAATAATATATCGCATGTATTATTCTTTCACGTGATGCACTAAAAGAAAATGTTTGGTATTTGGATCATTTATGTATACTTTTTGATAGAACTATAAATATAATATATTACTAGCAGTAATATATTATATAATATTATTTAGCAGTAATAAGTATAAAGCTACTGTTCCTAACTCTAGTTACTTTTTCATATGGGATATCATAGTATAAATCACTTGATAACGCGACGGAGCAGCACGTTCGCGTCTTAGTTAGCCGAGTCGGCGCGTGCTCACACTCGATTTATTAAAAAGGAGAAACGTGATCGCGAGAATTTTGCACGAGTGAATATCGGATTGTTTGAACACGCGTAGTATTATGTTACATACATATTGAGATGACAAACGATAAGCTCGTGCAGACTGACATTCCATTAAAGATTGAAACTGCGGGCAAAATGATACAGATTAATATATGCATATACATTTTTATGAAGGTGTAGTTGACCAAAAACGCACTTGCGAGGATATTAATAAATGAATTCTCGAATTCATAGATGTTTAATTAACCGTAATTTTGTTATACACTTTTAATCTAAAATATGAGTTTACGATATGAATTTATATTAATGTGACATTGAATTATCGTAAATTAAATTTACAAAATCAAAAAAAATATCGTCACATCAAATATGAAATGTAAGTGCCTTGCGAAGTTTTGCTGTCTTTCTTATGTAATCAAATAAAAATTTTCGACACACGTGGTCCCGTGAATGGAAAAAAAAAACGAAAGACTATATTCAATTATACGTGAACACGCAACGTTGGATTTTCCCGCGTGGATTTTGCTCGGAAATTTCGAAAAGCTCCTTCCGCGTCCTTTATTTGTCGGTATAACGATGTTGAACGGGCTGTCGACCCGCTGCGCCATGTATTCAGTTAATGAAAACATTGTCCTGCCCACAGCACATACGGTCACCCGCGCGCACGCGGTTGGCTTGTCACACACGATCTCCACCGCATCGCGGTGCAACGATGCAGCAGCGGTGCCTGCGTTTTGCGAGAACCACGCGTCGTACATCTTCAGGACTAATTGGAAGGGCTCGTATTGTCCTTGATAACCACTTTGCGTACCATTTTTTATGCGAAACATCACAAGATCTCTAGTTGTGCCGGATATCAAGTGCAAAAAAATTTTGTTTAGAAACTTATGTTTCGGAACCATATCAAAGTCAAGGATAAATATCTCCATGATATTTTAAGATGAAACGAATTCTAAAGAGAGAAAAAGAAAATTGTCTAAAATCAACACAATCCTGATGCGACTCTATTGCAGCCCGCATATAACACTTTCTCTGGTCTTCTCTACTGAATATATGTCACATTACACAGAGAGCAGAAACGGACACGCGTTTGTTGTCGAATGTCGCAGTATTGTTTAGCGTCCCGCTGTAACGCGCTATGCAAGCATCGCGATGCGATGCTGGGTGATGCAATGTGCATATAACACATATATACTTATATACGTACTATACACACATGCGCACATATATACGTATACACACACAGCCTAGTTGCCAGTAAATCATTCGCGTGTTAAAGCGAAAAGGTTAACATACTAAAAGTTTAACTCTATTTCTGTGAGATATCGAATCATAATTTATTTCAAATTGTTCAATTAAAAAAGGTAATTGTTTTAAAAGTATGGTATGTTTTCCTTATTAATATGATTTTCTTATACGTAATTAAATTTGTCAAAATACATTTAAAATGTGTCAAAATTATTTTCACGATAAATGAAAATTTTAAATCAATGCTTCGGAAAATTTAATCGTAAGGAAGACACAGTAACGTAAAGAAAACTACTTTTTTAAATTAAACAATGTGAATAAAGTCCTTTCAATTTTAAATATCTGAATAACAATATAAATCTATTGTCTCGCATTAAAAAACTTTTTTTTTTAATTAGACACTTATAGCTTCGGAAGCCCAGCAATTATCTGAGGAATGCATTTCGCATGAAAAGAAAATCATATCTTAACCATATGTCGTCTCGATGCAAAACGCAATACGCCATTTTCAATCTCAAAGCGAATCCGTGCACTTCGCGTGTCGCGAATATTATTGCGTCAATATTTTTTAACTGTCGCGAACGCGCACGGTTGGCAGAGGTATGTACAACTTTTGTTCGGCGTTTATCCCGATCTAACGACCTCACCTAAGGGCTCCTCTATTCTCAACTTATTCTCGCGCGAGTTCCTCTCCTCGCACGTCGCCTCCTGTCGAGTTCTATCCATGGCTCTAAAGAGACACGACTAAAGCGCTGTCAAACACGCTCTCGCGCGGGTACGAGCGGGTGACGAAGCAATCTCCGTGTCGACAAACGACCGTAATCATTGTCAAAAGAGTAATAGAGAGAGGGTGCGTGAGAGCGGGCTGTATGACGTACGTGTATAACAAGGTGCGCGGGAGAGCGGTGCAGTGTGTGGCTCAAGAGTGTACAGAGACGCCGATAACGACGTCATTACATACGCACAGCCATGACGACTGATTAGGATCGGCTGTACGTTTCTTATTCACCGTTACTAATCGCGGGTCAACGATGTTGCTCGCTGCGATCTATCGTACATCGTAGGAACGAAAGGGCCGGTGCGTCGCGACGCTAAGATGTCTAGAGAAATGCGAGAAAAAATGTCATAAAGCAGTGACAGCGATTACATTTATGCAATCTGACGATGATTTATATCCTTTAACGATAAATCTGCAAATACACGATTGGAAAGTGTTAAATTTAACACATTTTATATGTTTCAAAGGTCCATAAAGGTCCATCTAAAAATTTTTGTACTAATTTAACAATTTTTAACAATATACGAATTACGCATCAACTATATATGGGGAATAAAATTATATATAATTGCATAATACAACACTAGGATATTTATATTATTTTGTCTAATTTAAAATTGATTCTAATAAAAATAGCGAATTTAAATAACAGCTGTATTCGTTTTTTAATTTGATAAATAAATCATCTCAAATATGAAGTACAACATCTTTACGTATATAATACAAATTCGATCGCTTAGAAAATGCGACTTAAATACCATTTTTCCAATGAATTTATGTTGAAATTAAAAAGTCGCGATTAATAACTAATCAATTAATAACTTCCTCCAGTATTTTCTTCCTCCTTTCTCAACTGCTTTGAATGGAATTTAGATTCGGCGATGGGATATAGAGGCGCAGGGCGCATTAGAAAAGTAATGTGCGCGCGAAGGGGCAGGTAAACCGGCGGGTTAAATATTAAAAGGCACATGAATAAGCGCGATAGTGCTCGTATCTTAGCGCTCGGCTGCCACCCGGTGCATACATATTCATGTCTCTTTGCTCTTACGCCCCGATGGCACCTCGAGCACCTCTTCCGTCCAGCACCCCATGTCACCTTTTGCAATTCCCCTCTTCCGCCATCCACACATACGTAGTTATGTATCTATCGCGTACCTAGAAGACGATTGCCGATCTGGTTACCGGCGGCGGATGCTATCCCCATGAAAACATGCGGAACGCCCCGGAAATTTATGTCGAATTCACGGAAGCACTTTACGCCGTTGAGTCACGTGCGTCCCAAGTCTCTTTCTTCCTTTTCTGTTCACATGCAGAAATAAGATATCAAAAACTTCTGGAAAAACAATAGCTCACAAACGTAACACCTATATCTCGAAAAGCAAAGAGTCCATGTTCTTGAAATTCAGTCAATTAAAAATCACAAATATATTTATCATCTATTTATTGTTAAGATTTTCATAAAAGGCAG